TAAACCCTAAACCCTAAAAGACGACGGCCTAGACTGAAGCCTAAACCCTAAACCCTAAAAGACGACGCCCTAGACTGAAGCCCCTTTGGGCGTGCATTCATCGGCAAGACTTCCGGAGCTAAAGGCTCCAAGAGAAATCTCCGATTCTCAGACTTTCAAAGAGCCCCGATGTCACATCTATGTAGGGGTTTTAGTACTTCGAATAGGGTTTTGGGGCTCCTGTATATTATTAACCTTTCTTCCAGCAGGCTCCCTCAACCCGAAATCTGGGAACCCGTAGGTTCAAAACCCAAACCTTCCAAGCTTTAAGCCCTATAGACCCTATAACCCTAAAAGGTTTAGGGTTTAGGGTTTAGGGTTTAGGGTTTAGGAACCCTGAGCCCTAAACCCTCTAGCACCTTACTAGAGGAACCCAAACCCCCACACCCGATCCTGAGCCCATCAGCCGCCCCCCTCTCCGGCTTTCTCGGAGGGGGGTGCGAAGGATCGGCGGCAGCTGGGGCAGTTGTCCTGCTTTCCGGGTAGGGATGTACCTATAGTCTCCGTTGTGGTTCCTTTTTTGTTTAACCAAATATATATTAAGGATTTTATGAGGTATCCCAAAAAGGAACTACAATGGAGACTATAGGTAAGCTACGAAGCTCTGGGATGCTCTAGGTTTACGATTCAAGGGCGTTTTTCCCACCCACTTCGCTGACTAGGTCGCGCTGCGGGGAAAGTGCACTGAAAGGCGTGTTGAAGTCCCAGGGTGAAAGTGACATTCCGATGAACATGTGGTGTATTCAAGTCAAAGCTTTCGGGTTCATGGTGTGCGATGTTGGACGGGTTCGGTTTAATTATAAGGAGAACAACATGCACGAAACGGAGGGGCTGCGGGTGTAGACCGGGTTTCTGATTTGGAGTTACGAGTTAGAGTTGAATAAGATTTACACGTATTGGTTTCGGCGCCACCCCACCGACATCCAAATAAGGTGTAGGGCCGTGTAGGGTGCAGGGTTCGGGGTGCACGGATTGCAAATAGGCTTCTGCATGCTAGTGCTTCCTTGGCACAAGCTCTTAGCTCTTTCCTGCTTCAGTCAAGACATGACCATCTCCGCTTGCAAGATTGCGGTATGAAAGCTAAACCCTGAACCCCTACCGAGCCCCATAGTCTAAACCGTGTGTGATTCCGGGGCAGAAAGCCTCATCTGCGCAGTATCGGGATTTGGCTACAGGACACCTGCTTCCTCAACCGTATCTCCCGGTCTGAAGGATTGCGACCCCCTGTATCTCCGAAGCAGTTGAATGCAAGTAGTTGGTTTTGAGACCTTGCTTGCGTAAACTGGTATGCCGCATGCCACACAACCTTACAGTAGAAAGAACAAGCCGCTGGTGTACCTCAGGGGATTACGGCTTAAGGGGTTGCAGGTCCTATCTTTGCCCGACCCCTACTGGCCCAATGACTCACCCAACCAGAATTTTGCGACAGGTATTTCTGCGGCTCGTCCCACATGAGGCCTCGACCAAGCTCTAAGCCAGGGTCCTGCATGGCCTCGACATGCTTGCTGAGGCACACCTCACCTGAGCGTATCTTACGTTCTGGTCGACCCTACACCCTGAACCTCCCAACGCTGAAACCCTAAACCCCAAAAGTGCAGGAAATGGGACTCAAATCTTGGCGTCTTTTGTGCAGACACACCCGGGATCCTGAAACAATCCTCAGCGCTTCAATTCTGTGCACTGCGGGGCTTAAACCTTCAAGGCTGGAATCCTGCAGGAGGGATGCTGGGCAACCCTAAACCCTGAACCCTCCAAACTCTGCGCTTTACGCAAAACCTCTAGGCTTTAGGGCTTCGGGTTCGGGATGCGAGAGTAGCCCAAAGGGTCCAAGTTATAGTATAGTATATACTTTGGGGGGCCCAAATACCTACAAAGTAGCTACCATATTACTACTTGGACCCTTTGGGTAGTGGCTTCGACCCTGAACCCTGAGCCTCCAAACCTGAACTGCCTTAACTCTCGTTTCGCGGCAAGACCCGCTCGGCGCTACCGGCGGTCTTAAGTCCTCGAGATAAACAGATAAATACATATACATATATAGATATTCTGGACCCTTTCCGTACATGTATATATATATATATATATGGATATATGTATAGATGTAACTGCTTATTTATAGGACCCTTACAGTTCGAACGAAATTTTTGGATGGAATCGATAGGTGGCTTTTTGGCTGTTGTCTAGGCGCCGTAGCAATTAGAACAGGCTTTTGGAACATAATAAGAAGGGTCCCGAACGAAGCTTATTGCTGAATCTTCAGGCGCTGAAAGCCTGAACGTTAAGAGCGAACTTTGCGTCTGGGCTCATGTAGAGAGTGAAGACATGACCCAAGAAGCGTGGCAATAAGGCTCTCACAAATCAACCGGGGGCGGCGAAGTCATTTGAGATCCGAAAATACGTACCTTGATCAAACCCTGCCGATCAAATTGTATGGTACTGTGCATTTTGTATTATAGGTTCTGTGCCATATACCACATACTTCAGCTAATCCACACTCAATACTAAACTTTCTTAATTATTTTGATATCTTCTATGACCCAACCGCTGCAACCAGCCAGGCTGCAGAAGGCATGGCCACAGGTCAGCACGACGACGGAGTGCTCCTAGATCTGCGGTATGGCATGAGACAAAAATACACTGTTTGCACACATGGTGTATAGTACAATCATGTTTATGATGTGATATAAAAGCATGCAAACTCAAACCGTTTTCAAAATATGGTACATAATACACTGTACCTTGTTGTTGAACCCAGGCTCTGATCGTAAGCTGGGAAAGTCGGCAATACACTATACCCTAAAAGCATATCAAGGTCATATGATACAGCCTCATATGATATGATACCACATCATGGAATATAACATATTGTAGTGTACTTTAACTCAATACCTTACAATACAATACAACGCAATACAATTCAATACCATTCAATACAACACAACACAATGTAACACAGTAAAACATGTTAGACTCAGAACATAACATACTACCCTTGAATATGACAACATGACCACGTAGTGCATTGTAATACGCAAATATGCGTACTTCATTGCACTAGAACAGAACATGACATAATTTACCATAACACGGTACCAGAAATGTCATGTAACACTGCACAATATAACATGGCATAAACTAGTTCATACACTAGAATGACAATTTCTGTGATTCTCTTTCTATATATACCGCAATAGACAACAATCACGTATGTTTGCTCTTCTCAAAGCAGTACCACAAGCCACAGCATGCACAAAACGAAAGTCGAAAAGCTCCACACGACAACTGCGTAATTCTGCAGTTCGAAGTAGCCAGTATCCACAGACAGCCGGGCCAGCCAAACCTCCAGACGAGATCAAGCAAAGGCCCTGAAACCCGAAACATGCAAACAGAGAAACGTGCGAATAGAAATCTTGGTGCACTCTCGGCTAATTCAAGATCTGGGCAAACTTTTCGCGACCCTCTTTATGTGCAGCAGGTTTGGCAGGTCTTCTTTTTGGATTTTTCCATCTGCTGCTGGTCGAGCTGTCTCAGCTTAGCAAGCCTCCGGCTCTCCTCGTTCTGGGGGCACTTAAAGAGACAGACGCATATCTCAAGCCGTCGCAGCCCTGACCCACGAGAGTGACGCCCTCAAAGACAGAAGCCGCACAGAAAGCGCCATTGCCTGAAACAGGATAGAATTTGCAGGGTTCAGTGTCATACGGGTTTAAGGGTTTAGGGTTGAGGGTAGAAACTCCGAATAAACCTAAGCCATCTAGACAATCCTTTTTCCCAAAGCCATCAGCCCCGAGCCCATCGTCCTTGGCCATGGACTCCCACAGTTCCAAGCAAAGCGGGCAGCAAGTTCCCGCGAAAGGAGCAGAGAGCTCCTTTCATCAAGTTTGCTCAAGGAGTTTCTGTGGTTCTCATGTGGTGAGTTTAAAGCTCTGGTAGAAAACTTTGGGGTTGGGCTTCGGGTTTAGAGTCTCAATCCACATAGCTCTTGTGGTCCTTTCGATAGGGACTTCGCTGCTCTGTCGGCGCATAAGCTGCAGAAAACACGCCAGCACCCAATGCCATCTAGTGTTCCACTGGCCCAACAACAGCGACCCGCCCTAAACCCTAAACCCTAAACCGTAAAAGCTGGACCTAAGCTTACGCCAGTTGGCTTGATCGGGGGTCCCCACACAAGGCAAGGCCTCCAACCACGATCCGCACCAGGGTTTCAGGAACAGGCTATTAGGGTTTAGGCTTAGGGTTTGGGGTTTAGGGTTCAGGGCTTAGGGTTTAGGGCCTTTAGGGTTTAGGGTTTAGGGGGTTTAGGCTATGGTCTCGTATAGGGGACGAACTTCAGGGCTCGGAGACAGATATTGCGGCAGCGGGGTCATGGGAACAGAGGATCCCAACGCTTATCAACTCTACGCTACTCTAAATCTTCCCAGGCCCAAAAAACCTATGTCTAAGCCCAGCTTCCTAAACGTGAAGAGCTCTGGATCCTAAGGCCCCAGCATAAGACAGTATTCCTCGGTAACCCCTGAAAATGATACAGCAATACTGCCACAGCCCTATTCTTGTTGCTAAAGCCTCTTTATGTCAGGGGGACCCATCATCCCACCGAGCCTCGGCTGTGGTGGTCGTGACGCCACGTAGACGCTTGGCCAAGTGCACGAGGGTGGCCCGTCGTCCACCCTACCGGAACTTGCTTCTTGGATGCTTACTCTTGTGCGTTATCTAACTCCTGATTTGTCCCTAAACGCTAAACCTTAAAACCCTAAACCCTAAACCAACATCCCTTAGGGCCCTCAACCCCAGGATTTGGCCTCAAGAAGTGTTTTGGGGTTCAGGCTGGTGGGATTTAGGGTTCAGGAGCCTTCCGGCTTAGGGCTGTGACTAGAAGCCAACTACCATCCTCCATAAGCTGATGGGCTACGGCTGCCTTTTTCTGTGCGTGCTTTGCGGCGGCTTAAGTTCACTTCTCTTGGTAGGGTGGGACAACGAAGCCTTGAGGCAAACGGACCTGCGATGCTTGTGGGGCTTTACAAATTCCAGGAACACCAGTGTTAAACCCTGCACCCCTAGCCCAAGTTGCGAAACCCTAAACCAAGGCCTAGACTACCTGCAACCCGCCCCATTTTTGCAACAGGCCTCGCTGTCCAGCAGCCCGGTCTAGCCAAAAGCCACTCTCCTTCAACCTACTTAAACCCTATACCGTGCCGACTCAACACACTTATGCCTTCAAACTTCCGAGAGCCCCGAGCCTGACATCCTAGATACAAGCCGTAAATCCCACTGCTTGCTGAAACCTTGCGAAACCTTGCAAAACCCGACAAAGGCGTGCAGAACCGCATGAATCCATTACATCCCAATTAAAACTAGGATGGAATTCCCCTTACAAGCCTTCAAAAAACCGTTTCAAAGGAGTTTTGGAACAATGGCACAACCCCTCCCAAACCCTATAAAACGTCTATTCCCCCCCCACCCCCAAGAAAGGCCCTTAACCCAAAACCCTAAGCCTGGGACCCTACACCTTATTACACCCCAAACCTGAAACCTAAACCAACCCCTAAATCCCAAACCCTAAACCCCTGAGCCTGAACCCTAAATCTTTAATACACCCCAAACCTGAACCCTAAGCCGTAAACCCCAAACCCTAAATCTTTAGTACACCCCAAACACCACAGTGTGGTGTCTCCTGCATGGGCCACTCGACAGCTTCCATGCGAACCCGGTTCTCCTGGTTTTACGACTCTAGCTAGGGTTTGGGATTTAGGGCTTGTTGGGGCTTGGTGCTTCGGGGGTTCCGAAAGTATTCTATGAGGGCTTCAAAAAACAGCTTCGAACGCATTACGTGTTGTGGAGGGGAGGTTTTTGCCTTAATTAGCGGCAGAATTGCAACTGACAGCGTTCAGGCTTTCAAACCTCTCGTCTATAAGGCTTTCGGAGTTCTTTGAAACCCTGAACCCTAAACTGGGGTTGAGGAGTATAGAGTCCCTGTGCTCGGGCTGAAGGGTTGGGGCTTTGGGGCTGGAGAGCTTAGTGAGCTTCGGGCTTCGGGTTTTCTGAGTTTAGAGTTTAGGGCTTAGGGGTTGAGGGGTTTAGGGGTTACGGGTTAGGGTTTAGGTTCCTGGGTGACCCCTTGATAATAAGGGTACCCTTTTCCTGCTTTTCTGGCTGAAACAGGGGAACCATACAATGAAAAGGGCAAAACGGTACCACTCAGGCCTACCCATAGGCCCCATAGTAGTTCCTTGTTGGGAGTACCTTATAGGATGCTAAATATGAACCCCGAAAAGGAACTACTATGGGGCCTCTGGGTAGGCTTTAGGGCTGGATTCGAAGAGGCTTTGGCGTTTGGGCTCGGAGCCTATCGCCTGAAAGTCTAGGTCTGAAGCGTCATAGACCCCTATGGTTTAGGGTTTAGGGTTAATGTAGGGGCCTAAAAATAATTACCAATGCTATTTTGGGGGCTCCTAATTATAACAATAGTATAATGGGTCCCCAAAACCCTGTTCTAATTATTGAGGCCCCTACATTAATTAACCTTTTTGCATCTGCCCCATTAAGGACCAGACCCGACTCTTATGTGCGCAAACTGCAACCTTCAAGCCCTGATGCGAAAAGCGAAGTCAAGCCCAAGGACGCGGATAGACTGGAACCCCAAATCCCAAAACGCGACCCAAGGGGATTCAATGCCAAACTCTGAGTTTAGGACTTATAAGCTTAGTTGGGGTAGATTATACCAGTAATAAAAATTGAAAGGGAACCCGCAGGAACACTGTTGGTGTTGGGGTACATAGTGCTAATAATTATAAGCAGTGTCCAACAGCAACAGTGCTGTAACTGAATCAGGCCCTTATGTACCTGACAACCCACGAGAGACTAGCCGCGGGAGACTCACCACGTGCCTCTAAACCTTATAACCCTAAAATTCTAGACCCTAAACCGTAAAACTCTACATCCTAAAACCCTGAAGCCGCCGTCCTGCATCGTTTCAGCAAGACACGCGATGAAGGCATGGAAGAGCTGGAATCGTGCCCAACTTACTTCACTTGGCCTCGGCTTCGGGGAACCTTACTATTGGTTTAGGGTTTAGGGTTCAGGGTTTAGAGGTTTAGGGTTTAGGGTTTAGGGTTTTGGGGTTTAGGGTTTGGGGTTTAGGGGGAGCCTGAGAAGAACCCTACACCTGAGCCCTGAAACATCTCCTTGCTACGGCTTCCTTCTCTGTTTCCTGAGGAGCCTCGATTACCTGGGTAATGAAGATAAAACCTGAAGGCCTTTAAGCCCAAAACCCCTAAAACCTTCAGGGCAGCCTACTGGGTGAAGGCTTTTAGGCTTCAGGGTCTTAATTATGGGTTTAGGGTTTATAGGCTTTAGGGCTTTAGGACTTCATGAAGTTTTGAGCGAGCAGGGTTGAGGGATACATGTCTGTGGGAGAACTTAGCTGTTTTAAGATGTTGCCATGGTTCACTGATCAGGGCTAGCCGTGATGCCACAGAAGAACCTTGTAGGTATAGGTCCCTAGGGCCGGAGCCTCAAAGCATAAGCGAAGTCTTTAAGCCCCGATTTTGCAGAACTCCCCAATCCTAAACTTAAGCACCCAATCCTCAACATTAGGCCGCAACCACCAATTGCCCTACCTTGAAGCCCAGTACCCTGGCCCAAAAAAGCTTAAACTTTTCTTTTAGTAGGGGGTTTAACATACCAAAAAGAGTAAAGTTTACCTACTGGGCTCCTAAGCCTAAACTGATAAGCACCAATCCTCAACATTAGGCCAAAACCACCAATTGCGACAGCGGCGACTTCTCGGAAAGATCGGACGCTCGCAGCTGCAGTCGATGGCCAAGGCTCCGAAAATACCTGACTCTGTTCCACAACGTCTTTTCTAATAAAGGGGCCTTTATAATTAGAATAGGATTCTGGGGCCCACGATACTCTAATGATACCTGGGAGTTTCCAAAAACTAGGGTGCCTTATTTTGGGGGTCCTTATAATAAGGATCCTATTACTTAGGGTACTATATTAGGGTCCCCTATTTTCGGAAACCCCCACCTAAAGAACACCCCCCCCCCCTCTTTCAGCGGCCCGAGGATCAACTCCAAGGCCGGCGGCCGCGTGCTGAGGCATCGGAGGCTTCGGAGCTGCCCCAAGCGGAAGACCGCTTGGCCTCTCTAGGGTTTTTAAGGTTTAGGGGGTAGGGTTTAGGGTTTTTGGGGGGTTTATAGTTGTTTAGAGGGTTTATAGGGTTTAGATTTCTGATTCTAGTTATTCATGAGTTTATGGGGTTTCGGGGGGAAAGGGGTTTTACAAGGTTGAGGGTTCAAAGGGCTTAGTTTGATTCCTAATTGGGGTTGGAAGTTTATTTTTCAGGTTTTGCAAGGCTTGGGGTTTAGGGTTTGTCAGGGATTTGAAGGTTCAGAGTTTAGGGATCTACTAAGGTTCAGAGGCTTAGGGTTTAGAGGGTGAAGGGTTTGGGAGCGGCTTCAGCTTTATACTATCTAACCGGCGTGGTTTGGTTTTCGTGCATGTGGTCCACGATGTGAAAGTGGCTGCAACGCACACAAAGGTGCCACATAGTTGGAGTCCCAACACTCGAGAGTGAATGACGATCTTTTCGGTCAAATTGGAGATATGTGGCAGCGACAAGACATGGGCGTGCGTCTGTTGAATATCCTTGAAAGGTCCTCATGCAAGCGTGGCATTTCTCCTGTTCGTAATGTGGTTGCACCTTCCACTGTCGCTGCCTGGCGACTTATGTGCGTAGAAACTTCTGCCACTTGAACCCACAACACAACAACCGGCACGAATCATTCATGGTCATGAAATGAAGATGAACTTGCTGCTGCACCCACAGGTCGTCGCAGGGGTCCACATTGGCTCCATGTCTACCATCACTGATGGTTCCCTCATAGGCACGCATTGGTGCTGTGGGTGGGAACTGCTGCAGCGGATGGCCCAAAATTGTTAATCACGGACGGTTCCTACGTCGTCAAGCGATCGGCCCGTGCGTCTGTGTTGTCGGCAGCGTCTGTTCTTGTGAGGTCTGTGCGACGCTCTCTTTGATGCCGGTTCCGCATTTTCTTGCCGACTCTACGTGCACCAGCAAGGCTGCCTGCCAGGTGTCTGACGCTCCCTGCCCGGCAACCCTTATACAGCCCCTGAAAGTACAGCTCGAACAGATGAGCGCAAGAGGCATTAAAGAAGGCCGGTGCGCGGGAGATTCCAGCCCCAAAATGGTTGAATTTCTAGCCAGCATCCCTGCTAGAGCCCTACACTTTACATTCCCAAATCTTGAAGAACAGAAAGCCTTCAGCCCTGCATGCAACGGAACACTAAGCCCTGAACCCTGAAACGGCAACCGCACAAGAACGACCAAACAAGGCCTATTCCGGAAAGGCATGTGTTCTGCATCCCTGGATATAACCCAACGAAAAAACCGTTGATTCTTATGCAGACCCTAAACCAAACCCTAAAGCAGTAAGAGCCCGAAATCCTAAACCGTTAACAAGAGGCGTGGGTTCCCCAAGTCCTGCGCCATCAGCTTCACATCGCAAGACGAGCTCGCGACTGTCTGGTGCGATGAAGATCTTGGGCAGGCGAGGAAGAACGGGAGCAGTGTTCGGGGTTTCGACTCACACACTCGCAAAAGCAGGCATGGCAATAAGTGGGGTTTAGGGCGCAGGGGCTGGGGTCCTTCGGGTAGACAAAGTCTACGAACTTGGTTTATGGGGCGCCAATGGGGGTGACAATGGAATACGCTGCAGGACCGAGGTGCTCAGGGTTTAGAACCGGGAAGTGTGCACAAAATCACGGGATTGGGCATTTCGGGCTTCGGGATGAAGCCATTTGTTTTGTCTGTGGGTGTTTACGACAAAAACTTAAGTCAGTTGAAATCCTAATCGAAGTTGGGCAAAATACTGTGCTGACCCTGAAACTTATCTATCTATCTGTCCATCTGTCCATCTGTCTATCTGTCTGTCTATCTATCTATCTATCTGTCTATCTGTCTATCTGTCTATCTGTCTATCGGTCTGTCTATCTATCTATCTGTCTATCTGTCTATCTGTCTTATCTATCTGTCGTATCTATCTGTCTATCTATCTATCTATAACATTCTGTCATACAGTATATATGTATATATTATAAACTAAAATATTCTATCTACCTGCCTATGTATCTATCTGTTTATCTGTCTAGATATACATCTATATATACACACACACACATTGTATACATGTAGATATAGACCCGGCATATCCTCTTCTCAACCGAGTCACTCCCACTTTTGCGGGTCGCCAGGGCATTTGGGGCCAGAAGCTGCAGCAGCTAACCAATTTCTCCTCAGATGTAGGGCTTTGGGTCTCGGGTTTAGGGTCTACCTTAACCTACCCAAACCTACATGTTGTAGGTCCTTATTACAAACCCTATTTAATATGTTTATCGGGTCTACCTAAAGGGTCATACCCTACGCGTGTTTTAGTTACCTAGTCTTATGGTTAGGATCTGCGATATAGAAAAGTAGGTGTTCTAAATGAGGGGTAGGGTGTGACCATACAGGTAGGGTTCAGGGTCTATTGTATTTCGGGTGATTTTCGGGTGCCGGGTTTATGGGTCTAGGGCTTCGCATGTGAAAGATCTTGCGGAATGCTCGCATACCTCTGAAATATACCTTTGTCTTGTCCCATGGCTAGGACCCGAAAATAAAAAATAATGTTGCCAAGAAAAGGTACCACATTGTTGGAGCCCGGTGTTTCTTGCTGTTTCTTTCTCCCTGCCTGCTCATAGGTTTGCTTTCGAACTCGCGAGAGAAGCCAGGTGTGTATGCGGCGTATCAACCTCAGCAAGAAAAGTAAAATAATGATCGTGGCATGCGATACTCCCAAAACTAATATGTAGAATGAACTGCTCAAACGCAGAAATCAAGGACACAGATAATTACACTAGCGGTCAATGGCTTTCTGAGGAAGCTTACTCTTTTATTCTAGATGTACACAGGAACTCTAAGGAAAAATCTTTCCGACTCCTCAGGCTGCAGTAGTGCATGCGGCATCAGCCGGACCAATATAGGGTCGCTTGGCGGTAGGAGGATGTTAAGGGGATATTGCTTTTGGTCCATCATGCAAAACCCAAGTGTATGTCAGCTATGTGTCGAATTCGAATACCCCACACTAATATGATAGTCGTCGCCCTTGGGCTACTTGCCGAAGTCAAGTCCCCGCAGCCAGGCCTTGAAAGATGCCCATACCTCAACCCCCTAAACCCTGAACCAAACCAACGGACCCTGCAAAAACCCCCGGCCGAACACTCTGCACCCTAGAACGCTAAACCTGAAAGCAGCCAAACACCTTAAACCCCGAAACCCAAATCCTACATTGCTAAATCCTGACACCCCAAAAACATGGCCCATAGACCTCCTTTAGCCCCCCCCAAAGCTTAATCCCTGAAAACTCCCCGAAAACTGTTCACGTCGTCGGGTCACGAGCCAAGGCAAGGCGGCCCTGCCCAGAAACACACTTACAAAATAACCAAACTGGCTCAGGTATAGGGTTTGCAATTTGTAAGGGTTCAGGTGTAGGGTATGATGTTTAGAATATTTTAGAATCCTAACGCTCTCAAGCGGTCATTGATGTAACCTGGCTGTTTACGGGGTGCAAGTTTTTCGATACCAGCGGTGTGTGCCAGCTCAGTGGCACCTGATGCAAGTCCCGGCCAACAAAAACAAAGTGCTTCCTTGCGCGGATGAGCGGCATTGGAGAATTGGAGACGTTGCCATGCAGGCCGGCCAGACCAACTGCTTCCTTTTCAATGTTGGCAAGCTCCACCAGGACAGCATGCGATCCCAAGGAATTCTCCGGCAGAGCATTGTTAGAAATCTGAGTGAAGAGGCTGACGATGTGTTTTTGAAAGGAGGCCTTGAACAAATGACAACTCCGCTGGCCGAGGGAGATCTCCAGCATCAATAGCATGACAGAAGCCTGAAGAGCAAACGCACAATGATTCACCGTCAAGTCCGGAACCTCCACAAACGACACTGCTGACCACCTCTGTGTACTTGTGGAAGGCAGACAATCCGGGGGCGGTTCCACTAACGCCGTCCTCCCAAACAACGCAAACACAAGCCTCCCCAACGACGACTTCCCAAGCACAACCTTGGGAACTGCTCAAACAAGCGAGCTCCAAGCGTCTCCAACATGCCTCGCTTGAATATGCAACAAAGCAGGACTTCAGGTAACAAGAAGGATAAGTAGCATTCCCACAAGTTCTATAAATGGGTAGAAGGCTTGCGAAACACAAACAGCTCGGAGGCCTTGTCTTCTCAATTCTATGATCGCCTAGGAAACCATGGTATCAATCATGGCTCACTCTGGCTCAGCATAAGGGGCCGCGCTTGTTTCACCGGCTCCAGTGAGACGTGCAGCGGTCTCATGCAGCACTCATGCAGTTCAGCTGTCAGAAAACCCAGCAGGGCTCGGCCAGCGTCCCGGCCCTGCACAGCGTCGAGCACTTGCAGGCCTGGTCGCAGCTCAACTCGAAGGTTGGCTCGAACGCCGGCATCCGGATGGTCCTCGAATCGTTGCAGGACTGAGTCCGGTAGACCCAGCCGCAAAAGAATACGGGCTGGGTGGGGTTCGGCACGCACAGCCATGACCGTCGTCCAGTTACTCGTGAGCAATCTTTGTCACAAGTGGCGAAGGGATGTTAGACCGTCGAATGTCCCGTCCGGAGTCAGAACGCCCACGAATGTAGACCACAAAGATGGCGCCTGCATCCTGAACCCCAGCCTGGCTGAGCTGGTCCAGCTTGAGCCGTGGTTCGGGTTTATAAATAGGGTTTATGGTCACAGCTTTAGGGTTTAAAGTTTAGGGCCCTTATCTACTATAGGTGCCTCAAGACTCAGAATACTTGGGGGTATGTGATTCATGTATATTCGTAAGGGGAACAACGAGGCGTTCGGACGCAGGGTTTCAGACTTATGGGGCCTCGGACGTTCTTGGTTTAGGGTTTGGGGTGCAGGACGTTTAGCCTAGAGTTTCTGGCTTTCCGAAGGCCATGGGTGACTCTGCAAACGTGAGAATCGGGGGTCTGAGGATGCCACAACGTGCATCCGGGGGCTTATCCTAAAGCAGAGCAGGTCTTGGTATTGCTTGTCACGAACTCTTCAGACTCTATACTGCAGCAGTCATTCCGAGCATCTGAGACCATTGACAGGTACCTCTCATCTTCTAGCCTCCCAAACCAGAGGGGCTCCACAGCTCTGGCTATACCTGCCATCCTCTTATAAGCTCATGTCAGCGGGAATCCAGATTAAGCCGTCCGATAAGACCCCGGGGCTTCTCAGATTCTATCCTGAGCCCTGGACCCCCAAAACGATCCTAAACTCCTACGCCTTAAACCCTAACCCCTATAAACCCTAAGCCCTAAACCCTAAGCCTCAAACCCGAACCCCCTAAAGCCTGGACCACTCGAGCCTCGATACTTTACAAAGCTCCTAAGTTGCATGCTTGCCGACGTTAGATCTCTGGCGAAACCTCCGACGATGACATTAACTTCATTCAGGGTTCAAGGATTTAGGGTTAAGGGTTTAGGGGTTTAGGGGTCTAGGGTTTAAGCCTAAGCTTCACTGAATCAGAACGCAGCCTGGCTGGAAGGGGGCTCTTTTGACTACGCTGTGGCATCCGGCACCATCTCACATTCATCAACTTTCTTGATGAAATCTCCTATCTCATCATCCGCAGCATCCCTGAAGGGCCTCTTCTTGGCTGTGGGTAGCATCCGCAGCGTCTTCGGTGGCTCCGGGGGTTCCGAGGCCTCAGCGGGTTCCGGGAGGGAGGAGCCGGAGGCCTGGAGAGTCTCCTTTTCGGCCAGATGGTCGGCCGTGCTCCTGGCCTTGAGGTGGGCTGGAGGGGGATGCTGCGGAGGTCTGGGCCTCAGCGGAAACTCCTCCACCGGCTTCTGAATCGCAGCCTCGTGGAAGGCTTTGACCAGGCCGGGCTGGCCGGCATTCAGGGCCATGACCTGGAGCGTCATCTGAAAGCTCTTCAAGAAAAGCTTGTACTGCTCTTCACCCACGGCACGGAGATCCTCCAGCAGAGGGAGTAGCTCACACCTGTCATGCTGCATCAACAGGTCACCAACTGCTGCATTTGGCAGTCTCCAGGATGTGAAAGCCAAGCGCAGAGGCCCGTCACAGCCTCCTTCCATGCAGGCCTCAATGAGGTCCCTGCGGTCGTTTGGGATGTTCTTGTCGATTGGGCCTAGCAAGACGAGCACCTGTCGTATCGGGTCCTCCTTTGCTTGGGAGGCAAAAAAGCCGCGGCCACCCAACCCAAAAGAGGCGACTTCCACACCGTCCGGGTCCACCACCAGTAGAGCTGCTGCGCCCTCCTCGTTCTGGGCTTGGCGCACCACCTTTCTGGCGAAGTTCTTGAGATAAGTGGCTCTTCCGGAGTCCCCGTCGAAACTCCGCACCTGCACCCCGCAGTTGCTGTCCAGCTGGCCACGCTCTACTTGCAGGGCTATCCCGAGGGTGGTCGATTCTGTCAGGACATTCTTCCTCTGCCACGCATTGTGGGCACGGAAACTGTGTACGTCATAGATCAAGCACTTCCCAGGGGACAAGGCTGAAAAGGTGAGAACCTCTGGACGAAGTCCATGGCCCTCCTTGGCGATCATACGAATGCAGGCGTGGATCATATCAAAGCGATGCCTCCACGACTCCATCACCTTAGATGCCGGGTCTCCCATGGCCGTAGAAACACCCTGCTCTAGGAAGGCCCTGAAAGCCTTACCCAAACCAACTCTCAACAAGCAATTCCACCTTCAACCCCGGACCCCAAACTCCAACTAGAAAGCCCTACAACCATATATACACCTAAGTCACCCCTCCGCATTCTTCGCACAACGCCGGACCCATGGTGAGTTCCCTGGCTTCGAAAGCATCCTCCAAGGAATAAGCTTGTTCCAACTGGAAACCTCAGGGCTCAGGGCTGGAAGGGTCGTGGATTCCTCTGAGGTTTGGGGACTTCAGGGATTGGAGTTTCTAGGGGCTTTCGGGTTTACTGTAGGGGCATGTGTCTTCAAGAGCAGGTAGGCAAGAGAGTTGACACCTGATCTGTGCACCTCCGCAATACTTGTTTCTTCTCGGCCTGTTCGGGAACTTGCATACTGTTTCGGTCGCCCCCCCCCACCCCCCAAGAACGACGAGTTTGCTTGGGGCAATGCTTCAGAATTCCTCTTTCTTGAACAATCTGAGAACTCGTGCAGTGGCAGATAACAGTGAGCGCTACTGTGCTGTTACCGCTACCGCTGCCGCTGCCGCTGCTGCCGCTACTACTCTTTCTCCTCGTACCGCTGCGAGTACTACTACTACTACTACTAC